ACTCACCCACTCACAGCTGTGGGAACTTTCTATTATCTGCTCGGCATCAGAGACGGCAGAAACACCGCACAAGTGAAACCCTCAACCGTTGACCTCGTGACCCCCGTATGCTAACAATTTCAGTGACTAAAAGTGAGGCCTGTGGACGGGTGGCTCAGGGGTTAAGGAAGAGGATTTTTGGTCCAAAAAGGTTTCAGGTTCGAGTCCACCAGCTGCCAAGTCACCACTGAGGTCCTCTGAGCATGGCACCGTCCCCAAACACTGCTCCCTGGTGGTCACTATGGTGATGGGTTAAAACAATGACAACAATGACAGCGAGTCCACTTTTCCTTCCACTTTCCTCTTCTGGTACAATTCCTGTAAAACATGACTCCACGTTATGTCTGCTGAAGGAGAAAGAGTGAAACTGAATTCTGGTAATTCCCTCGCCTTCAGGAATCGAGGTATTTGAGTCGGAGCCAGTTGTTGTTTCACAATAATCCAGTTCTTTACTGATGTCATTCACGGTTCCACTGCTCCAGGTCCTGAAAAACCACCTGAACATGATCCGCGCTGGTGCTGGCAGCTACGTTTTTTCACCGCCTGGTTTCATTTAGAAGTTTAAACTGCGTCGTACAAGAGCGGGTCAGAAAGTTATCAAAGAAACGTCAGTGCGTTTTAAACCTGGTCCTGTTTAGTTGAACACAACGATGACACGCCTGCAGAATTTGAAGAAAGACACAGAGATGTCCTTCAGTGGTGGCTCAGTGGTTAAGGAAGCGGACCTGGGTCCAGAAGGTTTAAGGTTCGAGCTTGTTGCCAAGGCAACTTTCCCCACACACTGCCCCCTGCTGACTTAGTTTACATTTGGTTGTGTGCTGTGTCACAATGACAAATAATTCACTTTCACTTCAACATCTCTGACCCGCTCCCTTTTTAGGTTTAATCGTCATCTGCTGCCACCCAGTGGACGAGTATATCATTGTTTTTCCTGTTGCAAAGAAATGCAAATTATTCACAGTTGTTTTCAGACCAATTGAGTAAAAATTAGAGAAGGTTCCAGAAGACCCGACGATCAGTCTGGACACACGTGCGGCGTGTAGAGACTGGCAGCAGCAGTGGGTATTTGGACGTGGACGTATGAATGCTCACTGTAGCCTTGAACGCACCCTGAGGTGAGGATTGTGGGTAATCTGCAGGTCTTATCTCCGATCTTCACGCTGAACATACAAAGCTGTTAAACTGCTTAGAAAATATCTCACATCAGCGTTTTATTCAGCCATGACGGCTGTGAGTGTGAGGGAGTTTTATGCCACCCAGAGGCTTTCCCAGGTTTGACACGGCTGAACTGGGTGAACGGCGTGACCAGGTCTGGTCATCAGAGACGCAACGGTGCAACGTGGATTGGTTCAAAATCCATACAAATGCGTGACAATTCGTAGTGAGTAGGAAGCCTTATCTCAAATCACTGGTCAGACCATGACACTACACACTCTAGTCCAGTAGGTGGCGCTATGTACCTAAAAACAGTGATTGTGACCCACTATCAAACCCAGACGTCAGGTCCTACGTAGGCTGAGAGACGTTCAGGTGTTGGAACAGAACGTGGGAAGAACTTGTTCCACAGACACCAACAGTGTTCTCCAGTGGAACTCTTTCCACTTCCTGTTTTTTCTCTTCTTCTTCTTCTGTTGTTGTTTCATATATTGACAGTTAACCAGGTCAACCAGACCAGACCAGTTTGACCAGTTTAACCAGAGCAGATCAGTGGTGATGGTCCAGTGTTTCTGCTATTCTGTTATTTAAGAGTTTAACCAGAGCAGATCAATGGAGATGGTCCAGTGTTTGTCCACAGGTCATTTGGTACCGGTCCACAATGGGACACAGTGAAAAAATGTACTTCAGTTTTACTAATTTACTTCATTCCAGAATAATCCAGAATATCCCTTTACTGTTTACATTCAAAGATAATCTGTCAGTGTTTCAGAACAACAGGTCAAAGGTCATTCAGACTCTGATACTGACAGAAGAAAAATCTGAAAGAGGTTTGATTTGGAAAATTTAATGACCCTTCAACGATGGAGCGGTATCAGTGGTCCACAGTAACGGCTGATACCGACCGACCGGTCCCTGGTACAGAGAAGGTCGTGGATCACTGGTCTAGGATAAGAATTTCAGTTTAAAAAACTGTAATAAAATTCCTTAAAAAAATAACTGTGAATCGTATCGTGACTGTTCTTGTGTTTCCTTACATCCCAGTGAGGTTCTGTTGGACCCCAGAGGGAACACAGGAAAAGCAAATGTGTGTCAGTCAGTTCATTCTTGTTTTCTAATGAACTGCAGACGGAGTTAGCAGACCGAGTTAGCAGACTCAGTTAGCAGACCGAGTTAGCAGACCGAGTTAGCAGACAGAGTTAGCAGACCGAGTTAGCAGATTGAGTTAGCAGACAGAGTTAGCAGACTCAGTTAGCAGACAGAGTTAGCAGACTGAGTTAGCAGACCGAGTTAGCAGACTGAGTTAGCAGACTCAGTTAACACCTGGGTCACTACCTCAGAGCTAGGGGTTCTGGAGGTTCAGGAAGTTGATTCTTGTTGGGTTTCCTGGACCAACGTCTGACCCAGGTCTTAATCTGACCCTGGTCTTAGTCTGACCCAGGTCTTAGTCTGATCCTCATCTTTTTCTTCACCAGTTCCGTGTCGACCACTGAACTTAGTCGACTGCGTTAACCTGCCCACTAATTAGTAGCATACGTTGGCGGGGGTGGAGGGGGGGGGGTATCGATTCATCGATGTTTGGCATTTGATCAATTCAAGCCCATTGTCTTAATAAAACAGCATAAGTTCAATGGAGAACAGTGCCCCCTGCTGTCGAAGCGGGATACCTACAAAGTCATTTGATTCTGTCTTTTCACTAATATTAAAACAAATATTAATATTTAAAAAAAAATCAGTGTCGGGATATGATCGGACAATTTAGTTCCTGGAACGCAGTGACACCGATACTTCCTCTGCAGCGCCCCCTTTTGGAGGAAGGATTCGACCAAATTCGTTCAAATGAACGGTTCCACCTTGGCACAAACGACAGAACATTCCTCGTATGGTTGCCCGGCACACTTTAGGGGGTCCGCCCCTCACTTTAGGAACCACAGAGTAACAGTGTCAGTCAGTCTGTCAGGTCTTATCACCAGAAACACTGCACTCCCCCGTTCTGTACCCGACCCGACAGGGCATCGTGTTCAGAAAGGGGGAGAAAACTTTCTGTCAGCTGGTGCAGATGGTTTATGTGTTCAATTTAAAGCAGTGATTCTCACATTCTCAAAAAAAAAAGTAAAACACTGACAAACTCGGTTCACGTGTAGAAAAACTTGCCGCGAAAACGTTCTCACATTATTAACGGGAGTTCCGTAGCGTCGTTTTCACAGAGAACCGTGATCGATGCCAACGGGACCGTCGGACCGTCGGACCGCCAGACCGCCAGACCGTCGGACCGACGTGAACTGAATTCCTGACACAGAATCAACGGGTGCGCAGACTCGAACTCTCTGCTCCTCACCTGCCGATGTCGGAGCACAGCCCGGAGTCCGCAGCCACGGCCGCGTGTCTGAAGGTTCCTGCGGGACATCGAGCCTCCGTGTTAGAGGTGAACCACAGGCAGGCGAAGACCACGGCGCAGACGAAGCACAGCAGGGCGGCTGCGCAGCCCAGCATCAACGGGCTGCACCTCGGAGCCATGGAGGAAGAGTTGAGTGGTGAAGAGCCGAGGATCAGCGGGTATGAAGACAGAACAGAACTCCTGTCCTGGTCTTAATCTCTCTCTCTGGAGAGGCTGGGTCCTCCACCCCCCCCCCCCCCCCCCCCACCCC